ACAAGGGAAAACAGTCCATACATGGTCCCTACAGACACAATGTTTTTCTGAGTATGTCCAACCAACAGCTGGTTGAATCTTGTATTATTCACAGCATAGTTATATCCTAAAACCAGAAAGCACATTACATAATCCACACTTCAAATCTAAGAAATCTTTATAGAAGTTTTAAATTTATAAATTAATCACATCTAACGAATAATCTGAAACAATACACAAAATGAAGATCCAAATAAGACTATAAAATGTTATGAAAATTCACATCTTTTTATATTGCTTTAAATATAAATTTTACAATACCCAGTATGTGCAAAGCCCTGGTACATGGCAGTATAGAAAGTGGGAAAAATCAATAACCTTTTCATCTAGAAGGCTATTTCTTCATTAGCATAAATTAAGAAGCTGTTGCAAGACCATGTGACATACAGCCAAGAGTGCCTGCTAAGAAAGCTGAGCTGTCAGCCTGTGGGACTTCCAGCTTTCTCAGCATCTTTAAACCGGGTATATAAATCACTTCAGCTGTACCTTCTGCTCAGGCAGGCCAGCCTGAGGAAGACTCCTACGCCTACAATCTGCTTGGTGTAGTTTGGGTCTAATGATGACAAAACAATGACTAACCAAGGCCAACAGAGGAAGCAAAGCAGCCTCCTAGCCAAACACACATAACTTGATACAGATACAATTTTCTATTAGGTGGGTGACTATTTTCTTAGAAAAAAAGTGACTATCGGTGGTCATGTTCATCTCTGCATTTGATTCTTATTAAGAATCTGATGGATAATTTTAGGTCTGGCATCAATTAATAACTAACATAACTTAATGTAGCTTTTTGCTACAAATACGTCATTTTGCATCCCAACTTCCTGAAATCAGTTCAGAATTATCTAAGTACTTGAGCACAGCCTTTATCAAGGCATGAGTAATTTCCACCAAAACACCCTGAGCACAGTGCAGCATTTCCTAACCTTAGACTTGAACAGCTGAACCTTTTTGTGGGCACACTCACTGTCATACATGCAACACACATAGCTTGAGAAATAAAAGTGTGTATTAATATCGAGCAACACTCTTTTCCCTGTATCTAGGTACTAACAAGTTGTATACTTAAATATTTTTTTCTTTCCTGAGACAGGATTTCACTGTTCCCCAGACTTGCCTTGAACTTGATATCCTTCTGTCTCCACCTCCTGCCTAGCTGTGATTACAGGAGTGTACAACCATCCCTATAAAATGCATAATTGTAAGGGCAAAACAACTGTTCTCAGCTTGCCTGGTCCAAGTATGTGACTAAACGTCAAAGCTGTTCACATGAAGCAGTGTGCTAGTCATTAAAATGAAGCTTCCCTTACATAAAACATATAAACTCTGAAGTGAAGAGCGAGAACACTCAATGCAAGATTCAGAACAGCACTTACTGATCCTGCAGGGAGGAGTACATCAACTGAGTAATTTTAATTGTTGTAAACACTAACTATCTCACTTAGCGAATGCTTTGATGCAATGATTTTACCCATACTTAACTCATGAACAAGAAGTATCATAATTAGGTGAGCTATCCATTCGCTAGTCTGTTTGTCATAATCCCTCACCTAAAACACAGCAATGTTGCGACCCTTTAGAAGATAAAACAAATCTAGTAGACAGTAGCCATGCTAATCCATACAAAACAAAGCAGAAAATAACACAAGTAAAATTGTTTCATGGAGCTTTTATTTCGGATTCAAAAAAAGTTTAAAAACCCATGGCCTAAAGCTATCACCTGCCAAAACCCGTGCCTGAAACATAGAAGGCCCTTAAAGTGGCTCACTAATATTCCTTTTAAACTGGCCATCTTAATAGCCATCTTCTATTCGGTATCTACCATGAGCTGCATAGTTCTGCCCCTTACTTCAGGGAAGTAAGGCTAAGTAACGGGAAAGCCACAAAGAGCAACACAGAGTGACAGAAAGTAAGGTAAAGTGACAGAAAGTGAACTATGGTCTATTTGACAACAAATTTATCCCTTTCTGCCTCTTTATAATTGTCTCCAAATAGAACCATGGGTAATCACTGCCAGCCCTTCTAATAACCCTACAGTTTTATAATCATAATCAATTCGTACCTAGCAAGATGAGCAATACCAAAAAAGCTGGAAGAAAGCATCAGACTGAGCTCTATGAAGCAGTCATCAAACAACAATTCACATGAGTCAACCTAAGACTTAAGGTCACCACTCAAGATCCTCTACAGGTTTGGCTTGGAGCAAAAATTCAGTAGTATGTTAAAAGGATTTATCAAAGAAAAAAATTCATTGTCAAATTTGGAGAATATTGGGTTAAACAAAGCTAAGCGTGATCTGTTTACCTCAGGACTTCTCAGAGCCCTAAACTCTTCAAAGGAAGGACTCATTGCCCTAATGAAGATGGTGCCATGCACAGAGACTAAGTGACTTTCCCAGGTCACACAGCCAGCTAACAGCAAGCTTAGCACCATAACCTAACTCCCCTGGATCACACTCCTCAACCCATTCTGCTTCCCCCAAAAAAAGAAAAAAACCCCACAAGGATGACTTTTATAGAAATATAAGTTGGAACCTTAGTGGTTTCCTCTAGTAATATTTACCACCATTCTATCAAAACAAAACAGCATCCTCCAAAAAAAAAAAATATATATATACAGTATTTACACACTGCAGACTTTGATGGTATTCCAAAACTTGTGATTCTTATCAAAAATACTTCCTCTGAAAAACTCGAGTTTTTTTTTTTTCCTGATCAGCACCAGGATGGAACTAAGACAATGGTAACATGGCCAGCTAAATTGGGGGTCCACTGGAGCAGAGACCCTGGCCTTACCACAAAAATTAATACACAGTAAGGATTCAATACATACTTGCCAGAAGAGTGAATAACACTCTGATACACTGCTGAGCTGGAAGATCTTGATCTTACAACATCTCTGAACCTGAGCTTGCCCGCCCACAAATGAAGCGGTTAGGCTCCACTGAGACAGATCCCTTCTACTTTTAAGAATTCGTGAATTTTATGCAAATAAAACCTCAAACCCTAGCAGCTGAGTAGTGAAGCTTCCAATTTTTCCATTAGTCCGTCACCTGATGACAAGGAAAGGGATACTGTGAGTTAAGCAAAGCTACGGGACAAAGTCCCCCAAATTCTCACACACCCAGTGTCAGACCTCAAACTTTTGTGAAGAAAAATTACCTTACTTCAACAAATTAATCACATTTTGCTGCTGGGAGTCCAAGGTTAAGTATCACTATTGTAACATCAAGGAGTGATAAGAATCTAAATTAAAAACAAAAATCTTTTCCATCAAAAGACTGTTTGAGTTCAAGTGATCTATACTCACTGTACTGTCCAAAGAAAGACCACCTCCCACCTAATGGTGCATGAGAGGAAGAGCTCAGATTCTCAGAACTCTCCGAGAGGGAATCAAACCTATCACCTCTCCTACATCTTGTTCTAGAACTTCATCCTTCAAAACATATTACTTCAAGGGCAAGTTCTCTAAACTAAGTGAGGAACAAACTCAAACGTGGTGTTAAAATAAATAACACCACACCACTCCAAGAAATCCAACTGAGCAAGCAGAAGCACCAGGGCCTGGAATTTAGATTTCCAAGACTGTTATGCTGTCTTAAGTGCAGTCCTAGGTCAAATACAACAGCAAGAGTATGCAACAATAAAACAAACATATTCTCATTAAATCTCTCAGGTATAACACAGTATTAGGTTCTCTGCCATGAAAATTAAGCAAGCACTGTGTTGCTGGAGTTTACATGTGGAACCAGACAGTGTGGATTATGCTTACAAGTTGTAGTTATTAAGTATAAGTAACACAATATGAAAACATAACAATGGCAGGAGAGTAACCAAAGAAAATAGTCCTCCTCAAAATAAAAAAGACAAGCACTCTTATCCAAAATACGTACATACACACAGACATGACACACCTGTCACATTTACACCAAGTCATTAATTACTATCATGTCTGCAAACTCCAAAAGTTTTGAAAAGCTGAACAAAAGTTTAGCTTGTGAAATTAGCAACAAACAATCTGCAGAGATTCAAGAGGTCCCACGCCTGGAAAGAACTGACCAAGAACACTAAAATTAACAAAACCAAAACTTCAAGCCAAGCGTCCAGCAATTAACTAACTCCTGGGCAGGTGAACGCGTCCGGGGCCCGACCTCAGCTCCACTCCAGCGCTACCCACAGAAACCTGTCGGCAATCTCTCGGGCGAGTCTCAAACCTCCGCGAACTGTCACAAAATCAAAGTCACAACTTCACAGCCCAATCAAAAACATAGCAAGGGCCTCCGAACTTCAGCGACTCCCAGGGCAGTCTCTGTTATTTCCCCAAGTGCCCAGCAGTCCCGGGGTGCCCAGCAACGGTAACTGAATTTCTAGGACAAGCTCCTCCTCACGACCTCCCTACTGAGTGCCAACTGTACACTGCATACCCCGAAAACAGGGGTGAGTCCTGAATACCCGAGGTCACAGGGCACCGTTTGCATTTCACTTTGGGCTGAGGCTCGGTCCCGGCGCCCCTTTCCACAGCGGTCTCCCCACGAGCACTGCACCCCAAAGGCCGGGACAAACAGCCAAAATCCACCTGCGAGGCCGGACAAGGTGAGGGTTGCGGGGGCAAAGGCAAGCTGAAGTCCCTTGTGCTCAATCACTTTTAAAGCCAAAATTCCTACAAAGAGCTCGGTGCCGGGGAGGCACGGACAGAATGGGGGACCAGGGGCTCCCCGGGACAGCAGCCCGGATTGCGGCTCAGCTTTGCCTAGATCCTGGCTGGGAAGAGAAGCGGGGGTCTGCATTGTGGCCGGGCTGCTCCCTCCCGGGCCCCCCTCTCTCTCTTTCTCTCTCCTTCCCCGCGACCAGGCCTCTCCTGGCTGCTCTTCCCCTCCCCTCCCCCCCACTCACAAAACAAGGCCACCTCCCCCACTGCCGACCCCACCAACTTTCCCATCCCCGCGCCCCGACGCCTCTCACCTCTCAGGAGCACGCAAAAACTGCAGGCCAGGAGGCTCCTCAGGACGGCCCCCATCTTCCCTCCTCGCGCTCGCTCCCCTCACCGGCGACGGGCGGCCAGAAGACGCGGAGGAGAGGAGCCGGGGCGGCCGCCGCAGCGGCAGGTCTGCGCGCTCATGCTGCCCGGTTTCCCGGCCACAGAAGAAAGAAAGAAAGGAGCACGTCAAGGCTCCGCGCGCGCCGCCGCCGCCGCCGCCGCCCTCTCTACCGCGCCGCTCGGCCCCAGGCTCGCGCGACGCCAGCGTCTGCTCCCATCCCGCCGCCTCCTCCCCCGGCGCCCCGCTTCCCCCGCGCAGCGCCTCATTCAGCCTCTTCCTCTCGCGCAGCGGCGCAGGAATTCGGCGCGTCATCGTCCTACGTGTCGACGTCAGGGTCTCCCTCCGCGCGTCAGCCTTCCCTCCCCCCAACGCCCCCCACCCACCGCCCCCCGCCTCGGCGCCGCCCCGCGTGCAGCAAGGAAAAGCAGTCCGAGCTGCGCGCACCAGCTCTACTGGGAGAGCTCCGCACATGAACCGCGCGAGCAGAGGCCACCCTCAGGGACCAGGCGGTCCGGAGGCGCATTCCAATGGGATTCTTTCCCGGGTCCTCCCACCGCGGAGAGCGTGGGGAGACGTCGGAAAACATTGGTACCGGCGTGGTCGGAACTACTTTCTGCGGCCCCGCCGGCCGCCGCCAGCTTCAGTCTTTGTGCGGCAGGAGACGGCCCGGCCAGGTGGGCTTGCGGATTCCGCCGGCGGCCACCGCGGCCCGGGCAGCTCGAGGAGCGCCGCGCGCAGCTCTCCGCGCTCCAGGACCCGGCTTTAGAATTGCACTTTGACCCAGGAGGTTTTTTTCCTAAGGAAAATAAAGTGCTATTTACAGTAGTTATAAACGTGGATCAGGTGAAGAATGGTCAAACGCCAACTCAAAACAGGGTTGGGTTGGTTTTTTGGGGTTTTTTTCCTCTGACTTTTTAGAACTACAAAGGACTAAAAGGTTTTCCAAACTGGCAGGTAAAAATTCCAAGAAAAAGCGACAGCACCTTACAGGGCAGGGACAATTGGGCAGGACTGTGCTTGGGATTTTACAAGTTGCATGTAATGAGTGTTTGCTTGCTCGGCTGATCACTTCTGCACTTGAGAAAGAAGAGTCCACAAACTCTAAGGCTTGCGCGGACACTCAGTGATGGCCCAGGTGTCCCCGAAGTCACCTGGCCGGCTTCCGCCCAGGTAAACGCTTATCCAGACTTAGCCATAATGGAGCCAGCAGGTGCACTCCGCCCCGCGGGCCCCGCCCCTACCTGCGGGCAGATAGATGGGTGAGGAATGGACCCTAAGTGACATTGGACTTCACCTGGAGCGTCCACGCACAGTCTCAGATGTGACACTCAGAATCACCTGGGGTAAGACAGGTTTTGTCATTTACCATATTAGTTGTTCAGAGGAGGAAAAGGGGAACCTGAGAGGTGCACACTTACCCAAGGCCACTCAGGTAGTCCATGGCAGGACCAGTTTGGAGAACTGTGTAAGAGCTTTGAAAAAGTGTTTGCTGTTAGCTAAGCTTTAACTGAAAAGTGAAAGCATGGCCGGAGGTGTAGTTCAGTGGTAGAGTTCTTACACGTTTAATGCTCTGGGTTCAGTCACCAGTCCTGAAAAAACAAGTGAAAGTGCGTGTACATTTTAATTACAGTCATGTAAAATATAAATAGATAGCCGGGTGTGGTGGTTCACACCTGTAATCCCAGCAAATCAGGAGGTGGAGATTGGGAGGATCAGGTTCAAGGCCAACTTGATATCTCAACAAATAAGTGGGATGTGGTAACACACACTTGTAATGTAAGCTAAGCATGAGGCATAGGTAGGAGAATTGCTGTCCTGGGCTGGGTGGGCAAAATGCTCAAGACCCTATCCAAGAAGTAACTAAAGCAAAAAGGACTGGGGCTGTGGCTCAAGTGGTAGAGCGCCTGCCTAGCAAGCACAGGGCCCTGAGTTCAAATCCCAGTACCACAAAAACAAAATACATACAGAGTACATATATAAGTACCCACATCATGCACTAAAATAGGCCTTAGTTTGAAGAGGTACATTTCTTCAATTTCCATTAACATATTACACAATTACTACAAAGTTTTGAAAGCACTGAAGTGGAAATCTGTAGCTTATTAAGCCTTTGCTAGGGCTCTGGTCTTCTTACAACACGGGTCTGTTTGTCAGTCACCCACCTGCATGTCAGATGCCAGGTCCTGTGCTAGTGTTGCAGATTTAAACATGAGAGTAATCATAGATCCTGAACTCAAGAAGTTACAGCCTAGTTTGGAGACAGCAGGTAATCAAATAATTTAAAATGTTGACATTACCGATCGAAGAAATACACAAGTCTGCCTGGACAGTTTCAAGAGGGGACATGCAACTGTGAGAGTCATTGAGATGTAAGTCGGAGTTGGCCAGCCTAGAAGACGGACAGGGAAATCCAGACAGGAGGCTAGCAGGTGCAAGGACGACATGTAGCCAAAGCAGGGCTGCTCTCAGAATGTCGCCAGAGGAGGCTGACCGTAAAGCAGGCACTGGGGTTATTTCCAACCACCTTTGTAAGTCACACTAAGACGTTTCAATGGTGGTGTATGATCATGTGTACACAAGAATCTTGCACCCGGCTCAAGAAGTGTGATAGAGGTTATCAGAACAACAGCAATGACGATTGAAAAGAGACAGTGGATTTGAAAACAGGAGGTCAAAATGTAGGGCTTGATGACCTGTCATGTGAGGAGAGGGAGGGACAGGGACAGAGAGAGACTAGGATGAATTTCCAGGTTTCTAAATTATGCACCTGAGTGTAGTGGGGGGGGGGAGGATCTCTGTCTCTTAGAAAAGAAACCTTATAAAAAGGACTTCAAAATCCAAACATGGTGTGGAAAGCCTGTAATCCCAGCACACAGGGGGATTGTGAGTTCCAGATCAGCCTGGGCTACATAATAAGACCCTGTCTCACAACAAAATACAGAAAAAAAAAATTCAAAAGGGAGAGGGTGGGGCTGGCGGAGTGACTCAAGTGGTAGAACACCTGCCTAGCAAGCATGAGGCCCTGAGTTCAAATCTCAGCACCACAAAAAAATCCTTTCAAACGGGAGAGGACAATAAGTCCAGTGGGTCTTTTATATTGGAGGTGTCTATAAAACTCCAGTTGGAAATATACACTGGACAGATTTGATACAAAAGTTAGGAGCCAGGAGAGAAATGGAAAAAACAGCAGAAGTAAGGATCCTGGGGTTTCTATTCCACACCATTTGGAAGCCTCTTACAGAATCCTGAACAGTGACAGTCACAGTTTTCTGGAAGATGACAGTAAGACATCTGAAGGAGAGGATGTCACCTTTGGGACTAATGGAGGACTGGGGTTAAGTTCCTGTTAGAATCTTACTGAATGGTAGAGCACTGGCCTAGCATGCACAAGGTCTTGGGTTCAATTCCCACCACCACAAATAATAATAACAATAATAGTGACTTATTCTGTGTGCCTAGAACCTTGCGATGCACAGATCTAGAGGCAGGCAGAGGAAGCTGGTGAGAAGCTTAGTTGAAGGTACCACCGGGAGAAAAGGAATGGCCAATAATAGCAAGGACAGTGCATCCTGGGGACATCTGCTGAGAAGGACACTGGGACTTACAACATCCCCTAGGGTCACTGATAGGACTGTACATTATCCACCATGTTAGGGAAGTAACCAGGGAGTAAACACACCTTCCAAACTAGAACTCTGCTTCTTGTAATTTATCCATGGAAACAAAAGTTTATAGAAATATTTGTAGGAAGATGATATTATAATTTATAAAATAAAACAAAAAACAAGCCTACAAAAGTGGCAGATTTTTTTAGGGCTGGGTGCAGTGGTTCACACCTGTAATTCCAACTACTCAGGAGGTAGAGATTGGAAGCATCACAGGTCAAGGCCAGTATGGCAAAAAGTTAGCAAGACCTCATCTCAACAAATAAGCCAGGTGGGGGGATTGCATGCACCTGTCATCCTTGCTACATGGGAGGTTTAAGTAGGAGGAGTTTCCAGGTCCAGATTGGCCTGAGCAAAAATGAGAGACCCTATCTAAAAATAACCTAAAAGCAAAAAGGACTGGGGATGCAGCTCAAATGGTAGAGCACCTGCCTAGCAAATGTGAGGCTCTGAGTTCAAACCCCAACACTACCCAAAAAAACCCCAAAAGTATGATTCAGCCTAATCAAAAGAACTTGCCTGCCCTTCAATAAAGAGTAAGTTAATAAACAATGGTATGTCCTTGGTATGGAATATTATACAGCTGCTAAAAAGAATTTGATAGATTTAGATGTATTGATTCAGAAGTATAGCAGACATGCATTACTAATTGAAGAGAATGTTACAGAATAGTGTGCAGAGCCTGATAAAATTTTTTATTTAGAAGAAGAAAAGGAATGAAGGGAGACAGTGGGAAAGAAACAGAGAGATGCTATGTAGTTGTACACACATCTGATTTGGAGAGACAAAACAGAAAGGAGGACAGTAAACATGAAATTGTCAAGAATGGACACAGATGTAATCCTGTAATCCTGGCTTCTCAGGAGACAGACATCTGGAGGCTGGAGGTTTGAAGCCAGACCCAGGGAAATAGTTCTCAGGACCCTATCTTGAAAAAACCCATCACAAAAACGGCTGGTGGAGGCTCTGAGTTCAAACCCTAGTCCTCTCAGAAAAAGAAGGGGAAGAAGGAGAGCGGCATTGGGAAGCTTTGTCATATTTTAACGCCCCCTCCCCATCTCCTGCCAGGTGCAGCAGTGACCATATTGCAGGTTCCTGCTTTGGGAGTGGTGAGGGGACCCTGCTCCTAAGGAACTGTCGTGTTTGACCTGGTCGGGCTTCCTGTCCAAACCATCCCAACAGCTTGAAGGGGAGGCGTCATTTTTACACCAGGCAACTCAAGGTCATTTCAGCTGCACTCACCTGAGTAACACAAACCAAAATCCTAACACATGATATATTTGTAAAGTGAATGAGATGCTTCAAATGTCCCCAGACTAATGGGAAACTGAGGCACTGAAGCAGACTTGTGTTACTAAACCGGGTCCTTCTGCGTAGTCTGGGTGGTTCCCAGCTAGAGCTGCACACACACACACACACAACATACATGTCTGCAGTGTTGGTGTGACTTGTCGATGTTCACCTCCAAAAGCACAAGTGTGTTTCCAGCACTGCCCACTGTGTGTGGACACAGGCTTGATAGTGGGCAAGGGGTGCAGCAGTCCTGGGGGCCCCTGTGCACAGGAGACAAGGTGAGTGCTAGAATAAAGGACACACAGAAG